TCACCTAGTTAGGAGCTTTACCATTGGATTCACTGAGAGGGTCATCACTTTTGATTCTTCTAGAGTAGGCCTCCACCAAGAAGGGAATACGTCTAATACTTGGGATCTGTGGTTTGCAACACAAGTGATATCCCTCAAACTCCTGAAAAGGGAGTATGCCGTGACTTCCTTCCGGCTGCAGTGAGATCCGAGGTGTTTATACCACGCTAGTTGCCGAATGCAGCCTTTGCTCAGCCAGAGTGTGTCGTTTGACGGAGCCTGGCCTCTGTTTTTGTCTCTGTGTGTCGTGTGTACACACTGAACGTGGACATTGGATAGTTATTTTCTGTGCTTCCTCAGAGAGGCTGGGCTTGCAAACCTGGGAGTTGGTTCTCTACCCATTGGCTAAAAAAGGCCGTCCATAAATTAATTTTGATGCCACACACACTGAACATTTTCTGCAGAGGGGCATTAGCAGAGGAAGTAGAGGGCATTCTGCTCCTCCTTTAGAGTCAATCCAATGCTGTTGCTCGTGTGTTTGTGCAGAATTATTCATCTCCGTTGATCTGACACTCTCCTGAAATCACTAGATTATGAAACAAATCTTCACCTCCTGATTCCAATACTGCCTGGTTTCAACACAGGGGTTATTTTATTTTTTTTACTTCTCCTAGTAAATAGAGATGTGTATAACTTTTGCCCACTTTATTTCTTGAGTTTGCTGCACCACTTCTTTTCTTACTCTGAAATAATGTGAAAATGTGGAAAGGTTGGAGCAAGACTGAAACAGCCCCCCTCCTTGGCATGACCTGAATCCGTAGCGGCACTCTCCGTTTCCCCTGCCTCCGTGTCACTTGTTAGTGACAGGCATTAGGAGCTTCATATGTCGCACACCTTGTACCACTCTTCCGACCCTGAGTCAAGTAGGTCGAATCCAGTGACGCGTGAATAAGCTCTGCTGAGTTAATGTAAACAGACAAGTGTTGATTTCTGTCACGTGGAACGGTGTTTCGACAGTTAAGTCTAGCACCCAGCAGTCTCCTTATTGGTAGACGATTCTAATTTCATTGGATTCAAAAATCTCTGACTCAAGGGTCTTTCCTTAGTGCTTTTTAATGGATGCATGGGTGAGGCAAAATCCAAGTCATTGTTAAACTCTAGGTAAAAGACAAGAGTGTGGGATACCCTCCTAAGCATGCCGGTAGTTGTCAGTTTTATTTAAAGTGGGTTCCACTTGGCCAGGATTGGTGGCACGCCTGTAATCCCAGCACTTTGGGGGCAGGAGTTTTAAGACCAGCTGGGCCAAAAAATGGTGAAATCAGGTCTCTACTGAAAGTACAAAAATTAGGCTGTGCGTGGTGGCTCATGCCTGTAATCCGAGCACTTTGAAGGCCAAGGTGGGTGGATCACTTGAGGTCAGGAGTTTGAGGCCAGCCTGGCCAACATGGTGAAACCCCCTCTTTACTAAAAATACAAAAATTAGCCAAGCGTTGTGGTGGATGCCTGTAATCCCAGCTACTTGGGAGACTGAGGCAGGAGAATCGCTTGAACCTGGGAGGTGGAGGTTGCAGTGAGCCGAGATCGCACCACTGCACTCCAGCCTGGGTGACAGTGCAAGGCTCGGTCTCAAAAAAAAAAAAAAAAAAAAAGGTTCCAAATGATCATGTTTTGTGGCACTGTCCTCGTAAGTGGCCACTGGTGTGACAGAAGGCATTGCTAAACTCAAGTGAGACAACTGCTGTTTTGCTTCGGATTGTCCCTGTGAAAAGGGAAGCCATTGACTGCTCATCTTGTTAGAAAGACAAGACATTGAATGAAGTTCAAGACGTTGAATGAAGCTGGTTATTGCCCAGAGTAGAAGATTCAGGCACCTACAGCAACTCACAGCAACTCCTAACTCTTAGGAGGGCTCCCTCCTATTAGCGGTGAAGCTGCAAACCAGCCTTTCTGTTTTCCCCAGATCTTCCTTGCCCCTAGTTCTGAGCCCCAGCCCAGAGGCAGGCCTCATGGCTAATAAACCAGCTAGTGGACAGCTGGGGCCTGTGGCTCCTTCTCCATGTTGGCCTTCCCTTGTGTCTCTTGTAGGAGTGCCTTATAGTATTGTCTCATGCTTCTAGTCTAGTCTGTCTGAACCACTTGAAGCCTGCAGGACCCTTCAAGGGATCCAAGCAAAGCCTGGATCCCTTTGCTTCTTCCCCACTGGCTAGTCTTCACATAGATGCTCTTGGAGCCTGTGCATTCCGTGATGCATGTCAGGCCTCTCACCTTGTTCAGCCTGGTGTGCCTTAACCTCAGGAGTAAAGGAGTAAAGGGAATCATGTTGGAAACACATCGTTAAAGTGGAATGGTAGAAACATTGGCTTCTTAGTGCCGTTAGCACTTTTACCAGGAAATAGATGCAACCACGTAATGTTTTCACTTTGTTTTATGCTGTTCTTAAATCGCTCTTTTGTTTATTTGTTTGTTTGCTTTCATTAACCAAACTCGGGACTGTCATGATGTCACCAAGGCCAATGGGTAGAGAAATAAAAACCAGCCATCCAGAATTGAATCTGTAAAGTCAGTGAACTTAACCTTTTCAGGTTCAAAATTACACAAACACAAGGATTTTCTTATCCTTCACCTTTCGAAGGTTTTCTTTTTATTTTGCCACCTGTTTTCCAAATAAGAAGTGGGAAGCCTCTTAGCTAAATTGTGATAAAAATGTCTCTTTGTGTGGCGTGAGCTATCAAATTAGCTTTGTGTGTCCACTGAGCTATCAAATTAGGCTTTGGCTGCTGGAGGCCTAGGTTCTAGCTTTGGTCACCTATCAGAATCTTACTGTTACGCTGGGCATGGTGGCATGTGCCTACAGTCCCAGCTATTTGGGAGGCTGAGGTGGGTAGATGGCTTGAGCCCAGGAGCCTACACAATATGGTGAGACCCATCTCAAAAAAACAAACAAAAAAAGAAGTAGAATCTTAATGTGAATAGCTACTAGCCTACCCTAGAAGATATATATTTTAAATCTGTTTCTTAGGAATAGTAGCTAAAAGAAGGAATGGTCAAAGGAGGGAAAGTGGCTGGCCACAGTGGCTCATGCCTGTAATCCCAGCTCTTTGGGAGGCCAGGGTAGGAGGATCACTGGAGCCCAGGAGTTCAAGACAAGTCTGGGCAAGATAGCGAGACCCCATCTCTTTAAAAAAAAAAAAAAAAACAACGCTTAGGTTGCAAAAAAAAGAAAATGCTTAGGTTGCAAATGGAGAGTATTGAACACGGTGACATAAAAAGCTTCTGCACAACTTGTTCTCTGGCTCCTGGGTCTGATCTATGCCATTTTTTCTTATATCTGCTCACACAGTACAGAAATGACTAAAATTTTGGGTCTGGGTTGTTATATCACTTTGTGTTAAGTTATTTGTAGTACCTAATGTGCTAACTTATATGTGTTCTCTCTGTTTTTTTGATGTTATTACCTTTTGTTTTGGCATAACTTATCTACATTTTTGTTTACATTATTTTAAAAACATCAGTAACTGTAATAATATAAAACTGAAGTTGTATTGTTGACAATACCTCTAGTTTTTAAGGTCATCTGTCACATAATTTAAGTGCACTAGTTCCTAATGTATAAAGTTCTCTCTCTCTCTCAATAAACAATGCAGAAAATACTTTCCTTTCTCATAACAACTTCATTAAAACACTGCTGTAGAGGGGGTGGTGAAAGCCCAAGGTGAGCCCTATATATTAATTCAAAGTCAAGATTTGAGCTTTATTGAAAATGAGTCACAGCCGGGCGCAGAGCCCGAGGCAGGCAGATCACCTAAAGTTGAAAGTTCGAGACCAGCCTCAGCCAACATGGGGAAACTCCCTCTCTACTAAAAATACAAAAATTAGCTGGTCATGGTGCTGTAATCCCAGCTACTCGGGGGAGGCTGAAGCAGGGAGAATTGCTTGATCCTGGGAGGCAGAGGCTGCAGTGAGCTGAGATCATGCCACTGCACTCCAGCCTGGGTGATAGCACGACTCCATCTCAAAAAAAAGAAAAAAAAAAAAGAAAATGAGCCACTTTTAATGTATCTCCTAATATCTCACAGGTAAACTTTTTAAAAAATTCATCAACCTACAACATTCTCATCAGCCCTTTCCATGCTTATGAAAAATGTAGTGTAACTTTTAAAAAGATGCAGATGTAGTGTCATGGGTGTTATTTGCTGAATCTAAGCATGATTACTTTCAGTTCCAAGACAAAGCTGCCAGAGCTCATGCATGGATGTTCTCCCACCAAAGCTTTTCCCCAAGCCTTCTGGCCCTGATTCCATTTCACCATTCCTGCACTCTCCAAATTAGATGGCCAAGTGCCAGGTGGCCAGCTAGGCAAAAGCACTGGTCCTTCCTTCGGGGACCATATTTTGGGAGCAAAGAAGAAGCAAAGAGTGGAGAGTAAAGAGAAACTTCCTCCTCGAGACGGCAGCTCTCTGGGAGTTGAGAAATGATCAGAAATATCTGCACAGCCTCATGCCTGGGCTGACCCTCACCCACTCAGAAAGCCAGGGGTACAACAACTATCCACTTGGAAACTTTAGAAGGCTCCGTTTAAACTCACTTTCCCAAAGGAAGACATGGAAAAGAGACTAGAACAGGTTCTTCTGGTAAAACATTTACCAAGATGAACCCTGAGCCTTACACCCTAAGACACACCTGAACAAGTTTATGCCCGGCCCCTCCCACTCCACCCTCAGGAAATCAGCCTGGACGCATACCCACTCTGTCCAAGAAATAACTGGACTTCATCGTCACACGAAACCTGCCACAATCCACGATAAAGAGAAGTGGGTTAATGTTTCACTGAACCAAACTAGACATACGATGTAGTCAGAGCCTGGATTCATAATCAGATGAATCACACAAGACAGGTTAGCTTTCCCTCAGTTGTAGGAAACTGGCGAGGCTGGAAAACTCCAGGAAGTTTTGACATCAAAGAGGAGATAGGCAAAAATGTCAGAAGCGTGGAGAGAGACACTATTTTGTTCATCTCTTACCTCAGGAGACGAGGATGATTGAATCTCCCTTAATTGTTTCCCATGTCCTGTCCTTTGATGATGACTCAAGATGATGGTTTAAATCCATGGTTCCTGCATTTGAAACACAGAAATAAAAGCAAAATCTCAGGGCCTCATTACAGACAATTGACTCAGAGTCTCTCTGGATAGGGCTTGAGTATTTGTATTTTTTAAAAGCTCCCTGGGTGACCCGACGCATTCTGGAAGTGAAGAACCACTAGTTTAAATGAAGCAAGTTGCCTTGAAATAAACATTTGTTTGCTGTATCCATGGTCCTCAGTGGGAACAGTGCCAAGAGGCATTGGGATGAACGGCGGTAGCTGCCCTGCAGTTAACAGCTGTTGCTTCTCTTCTTCCCAAAAGTCACAGCACTTTAGAGCTTGCTGCTCATGGACTGTAGTTGTTTACATAAAACCTTACCTTTACACCCCCTTTATTTTCTTCCAGGGTGTGATTAGTGTGTGTTTATCAGTATATCTCGTTGCCAGAGAGCATTAGTGAATAGAAGTGTCCAGGTCACAGCTGCAGGCAACTAAGCTGGCCTAAAAAGGGAGCTTTGTACACTCCCATTCATTTTTCCATTCCTCCTAGTTATCCTGTGATTGGTCCTCAAATGCATGTGAGAGTCCGCTCCCAGTTCAGGCCCATCCAATGAATGTGAACCTCACCACTCTGGATGGTGGTTTTTAAAACAGAAAATCACACCGGACAAGGTGGCTCATGCCTGTAATCCTAGCACTTTGGGAGGCCAAGGCAGGTGGATCACCTGAGGTCAGGAGTTCAAGACCAGCCTGGGCAACATGGTGACACCCTGTCTCTACTAAAAATACAAAAATTAGCCAGGCATGGTAGTGTGTGCCTGTAATCCCAGCTACTCAGGAGGCTGAGGCAGGAGAATCGCTTGAACTTGGGAGGTGGAGGTTGCGGTGAGCTGGAGATCGCACCATTGCACTCCAGCCTGGGCAACAAGAGTGAAACTCCGTCTTAAAAAAAAAAAAAAAAAAAAAAATTAGCTGGGCGTGGTGGCTCATGCCTGTAATTCCAGCTACTCGGGAGGCTGAGGCAGGAGAATCATTTGAACCCGGGAGATGGAGGTTGCAGTAATCTCAGCACTTCAGGAGGCTGAGGTGGGTGGATCACCTGAGGTCAGGAGTTCAAGACCAGCCTGGCCAGCATGGTGAAACCCCATCTCTACTAAAAGTACAAAAATTAGCCAGGCTGGCCAGGCACGGTGGCTCACGCCTGTAATCCCAGCACTTTGGGAGGCCTAGGCGGGTGGATCACGAGGTCAGGAGATCAAGACCATCCTGGCGAACACAGTGAAATCCCATCTCTACTAAAAATACAAAAAAAAATTAGCCGGGCGTGGTGGTGGGCGCCTGTAGTCCCAGCTTCTAGGGAGGCTGAAGCAGGAGAATGGCATGAACCAGGGAGGCGGCAGAGCTTGCAGTAAGCGGAGATCGCACCACTGCACTCTAGCCTGGGCAACAGAGCAAGACTCCGTCTCAAAAAAAAAAAAAAAGAACCAGAGTTCATTCACATCCAGGCATCTGTTGAACTGATGATTTTCAACTTCAACTGCCAGCTACAGGTGAATAGATACTTAGAAAGGCAGTTCTTCCCCTTTCCTCCCTTTATGAGGTCAATAACTTAACTAATGACAAATATTCCTCATGGATGGAATAGTTCGCCAGAGTTCAGTCTCCTACCAAAGATGCTGTTCTATCTCCATGCCCACAATGCTGAGCATATCAGGTGCAGCCACAGCAGCAACAACTGGATTCTCAGTCCTCGTAGGAAGCAAGTGCCAAAGGGCAGATATGCAACAAGAAATGAACTTGGGTCTACTGGGGCTTTACCTGGGACTTGTTCCAAAGCAGCATCATTAGAAACCACATTCCTCATTGAGAAAAAAGTATTTTGCATTTATTACATTATTATATTGGATTCTAATTGGGGTAGAAGATTCCTCCCCCACAATAACAAAGGTCCCTGGTACACAATATTTAGGAAGCCTGAGACAAAACACACCTAAGAGAAAGATATAGTTTATTCTCCCTCATTTGCATCTATTCTCTTGTAGCTTGGGCAGAGAAGTCTGGCAGGAAGACCAGATTGTTCCCATAGCTGAACATACAGAGATTCTGATTTATGTGCACTGACATCCAATTTACCTGGACAATGGGGAAATTCATTATTTTTCCACCTTTTATTTCATATTCCTCCATTAAGGGCTATTGATTTTAAGCAAATCAGCTAGAGTTCATGAGTTCATACAGTATTTCAGATCCTGCCATACAACCTCAGGCAGCTGTTGGTCTGGGGGAAATTCCTCCAGCTTTTGTCCAGACTCTCCCAACACGGTCTGTTGTTCGGAGGCTGAAGAGCTGCTATTAGCACAGTAATTTTTCCAAATGAACACTGAGCTAAATTATCTCAAATGTATAAAGGAACATCTCTCACTGTGTTATGGAAAATTGCCTCCCAAATTACAAGACTATACAAAGCACATATTAATTCTAGGACCAAGGACATCCAAATTGCCTTAGATTTTGTGCTGTATTGTGATAACACACTCTTAATGTCAGGCTCTGAGGATACTGCAAGGTACACGTTGTTAGGAAAATAAACCAGGGTTTTTCTCCATTAGGATCACCACATGCACACCCAAGCCCAGCTACAGGTATTTTGCTCTGAGATTCAAGCCTTTTGCAGAGGAAATAAATTCCAATTGCACAGACAGGGAATGAATTTGAATTCTAAACTGGGTCAACCGTCCCAAACGGCTTTCTCACTGCTGCCCATGAGTGAGACAACCTAGGAAGCAGCTGTGGGCAGCCGTAGTGCTCGGAAGAGATTCCTGACAGCCGATGTCTCAGGGAGGAGCTCCTGCTCACGCGTGTTTAATTCCACGACAAGGGGAAATCAGAGGCCAGACACCAGTTCCCAGACTGCCAAATGCCAGTGCTGTGGTCAGCGTGTGTGGACAAACCCCAGAAACTAGTGCTACCAAAATTGCCCCAAACTAGTCCCCCAGGCACCAAAACAGCTCAAATGTAGTCCACACAAGGTGTTTTCAATAGATATTTTCAAAAACAAAGTTTATTCAGTTTTTCACCTTGTTTTATCTACTCTTGTTTTTCTTTTTTTTTCTACTTCTCTGAGGAAATATTACAAAGCAAATCCCAGATATAATGACATTTTATCCCCACATCCCTCAGTATGCATCTAAAATATGGTTTTTTTCCTGTGCAGTCACAATGCCATTACACACCTAACAAATGAATAATAATTCCTTCTATCATCTCAGTTCCAAATCAAATTTATCTAATTGCATCAAAAATGGTCTTTTCTAGGCCAGCACAGGTGGATCATGCCTGTAATCACAGCCCTTTGGGAGGCTGAGGCAGGCAGATCACCTGAGGTCAGGAGTTCGAGACCAGCCTGGCCAACACAGCAAAACCCCGTCTCTACTAAAAATACAAAAATTAGCCAGGCGTGGTAGGGTGCACCTGTAATCCCAGCTACTTGGGAGGCTGAGACAGGAGAATCGCTTGAACCCAGGAGGCAGAGGCTGCAGTAAACCAAGATTGTGCCACTGCATTCCAGCCTGGGTGACAGAGTGAGACTCTGTCTCAAAAATAAATGAATAAATAAATAAATGTAGGAAAATGAGTACCCCTCCTGAAGGCTTGATAAAATGTAAAAGGCTGTGGGGTCTCCCCAGCATGCTACCCCCTTCTTGAAGGTAATGGCACCCCACTTTGCCCTCAGAAGGCAGTAGCCATCCCACCCTTATTCCACGTAGTCCTGGTGGCCTGTCAGCAAAGTCCCCTGCCTTCAGGGTGGGACCCATAGCTCAAGCTTGGCCAGCAGGAATTTGAATCTTGTGAGCACTAAGGACATGCATTGACTGCAGCCTGTGTTGTCCATTGGTTTCTGCTCCCTTGAAACTGCCTGAATTCTCTTCTTCCGAAGACCTGATTTTTTTATTCCGTAAATTGTGTCAACTGCGCAACAAATAGTTCTCTCTTTAAGTCAGCCAGCCCAATGGCTTTCCTGCACAATTTCTCACTATGATTTCCTTCCTGGCTCTATGTTTTTGCAGTCTCACTCTGGCCTATGCACTCAATAGACACAGCAGCATGCACATTCAACAAGAGTGAGCCGGGCACGGTGGCTCACACCTTTAATCCCAGCACTTTGGGAGGCTGAGGCGGGCGGATCACCTGAG